CCAGCCTGGGTGGCCTTGGGCTGGCTGCACATTGGGGCACCCCCAGAAGAAGGGAAGGGTGAACTTCTACTGAGTAGTCTCTGTCTGGAACACCTTTAAAAGGACCACCCTAAGTCAGAACCGACATGATGGCAGATGATGATTATTATAATAATGTCACAAGAAGGGTTTCCTGGTGGCTTTGGGGCCCCCGGAGGGCAAGAAGTCCTGCATTTACTCCATAAAACAAGGGGTGCATCCGGGACAGAACTCTAATTCCATTCCCTCCAAGACCATAAAGAGAAGCCCTTCGCACTCTGAATGCTAGAGAAAACTGCCTTTGTTCCTGATGAAGACTTGACAACCTCGGTATCTGTGGATCATGCACTTCCCCAAAGACAGGGGTTTCATCCAGCCCTTTTCTGAATCGGGGCTGCCTTGATGTGGTTTTCACTGTCAGCAGATGGCACTCTTTGTTCTGTTTTTAATTTCCTCTCCTTTAAAGACCCCTCTGGTTCCAGGCATCGCCATTCAGGTTGCCGAGCAACAGCCCCAAGGTGGCACAGCCTAGGACAAGATGGGAAGAAGGGCAGGCGGGCAGGCAGGCGGGCAGGCTGGCTGCCCTCGATCCATCTGTTTGCTTTCCGTATCTCTGCCACCCATCCTACAGCTTCTGATCTGGCCGAAGAGGTCACCTTAGAAGCCAGGTGGTTTCCTCTAAGTCATGACCTAGCTTATATATTTCTCTTTTTGCCTTTTCTAACATTCCAATCTAGGTCCTTCCTCCACAATCTCTCTTGTGTAGGCACACGTATGCATACACATGAACACACACACACACCTCTCTCTGTGCAGAACATAAATTGTTTTCTTTTAAACGGTGTTGACTTGAAAAGGCAACTTTGTGACAACAACTGCAACGCTTGACTGTTTATTTTAGCAGCCTATTTTGTAGAAACATGGCCACAACTGGGTAGCAGAGGATCGATTTTGCATGCAGAAGATGTTGGGCTACATTTCTGGCAGGGTCTCGTGTTAGAAGGGTCTCCTGTAGCTTAAGGTAGGAAAAGACCCGTCTCTCTCTCTTTTTGCTGGGAGTTGAAGAAAATTCTTGCCCATCAAAACCAGAAAGTGGGGAAAGTTGGCTTTTTGGAAACTGTGATTTTAAAAAAACAACTTTTCCAGAACAGATCCTCTGAGTCAGATGGACCAGTGATCTTGAGGTCTACTGGCTTCTTGCAGGAAGATGCCGAAGAACCTTGGTCTCCTCATTCCAGGAGAGAGGAAACTTCTCCGGACACACAAGAGCCCAAGATGTTGGGAGGAGGACGATGGCTGAGCCAGAAATGCCAACAGCCAGAGTCTAGTAGGCAATTTCTGCCAAAAGGAAAACCAAAACAACTTTCTTGAACCTCCAGTTCCCAACGCCTTGGCCACTCTAGGACCTCACCTGATCAGAGGTGTAGTCCAGCCTAACTAGAAACCCCCAGGTTCAGGGAACTCTGGGGCCAGAAAGTGTTCAGAAAGTAACTTTTGTGGCCTTGCAGGCTGGGGGGGGGCCCTCCGGGAGGTTTCTGAGCTCCGAGACGGGCAAATAAGTCTAGGGTAAGGACAGCTTCCTGGGGTTGGTCCCACGATGCCACAGAAGCCACAGTGCGTGAGAAGGGAGAACCACGGGCGGCACCCAGTCCTGGCGGGAGGCTTTCTGCAGACCTTGACACGACTGTCGGGCAGCCCGGCTTGGCCCCACCACCCGCCCGACATGCAGAGAGTGGCTTATTTTAATTTTCCAGCCCCTTCACCCTGAAAGGGGTTTCCACCTGCGCCCGGTGATACCTATTCCCATCCCAAACCCCGTGTGCCGAGGGCGGCGTCTTCCCGAGGAAATGGACACTCATTCCTGCACCACCGGCTAAAAACAAAACACACTTTAATCTGTGGGTCCTGCCAGTTCAGCAAAAGGTTTGTGTG